GCAAATATATACAAAAATGGAAGAAGTGTCATTAAAGTAGGAAACTTTATATCTGAATCATTTCCAATAACAAAGGGACTTAAAGAAGGATGTCTATCTCCGACCTTATTTAAAATATATACTCATTATTCGATAGAGCAGTGGAGGAAACAAATATCGGAAATCGGAATAGACATAAGCGGTGGTAAATGTTTAACAACATTATTTTTCTTACTCGTACTATCCTATCCTCTGCCATTCTACTAATGTGTTCGTTTCACTCCTGGTTCCGTTTTGTCACCTATTCATTTATCTTTCTGTATTGCATGCTCTTATGTTTTCGCTTCTCTTCCTATTCAAAAAACTTTTCCCTGATATTCGTCGGAATATTTTCATCTTTGTTGTTTTTAGTAGTCGTCTCCTTTTAGATGTGTCAGGTCTTGTCCCCGCCGTGTAGAGTAGAGTAGAGTATTTATTTAACTACATAACATATACAAATATTGTTTGTAGCAAGTCAAAAAAAAACATACATAGTATTAAATGATAAAACATTAAATAATACAAACATGAAAACATATTAAACAGATAAATAATACAAACATGAAAACATATTAAACAGAAAAGTATTTATGGCAAAGTTACGGTAAGCAGTTCAGTGGATGTTCTGCAATGAGTCATATATTCTTCTGAGCAGTAAAAACAATGTTTTAAAAGATATTTTTTTATAACTTTATCGAAACTATTACAGCTTAGCTCTTTTATACTTTTTGGTAAAATATTGTAATAGTTATAATTAAGACTATTTTTTTCTGAAAGACTTAATCTATAGCGATTTGTTCGTAGGTAGTGACAGTTTCGCGTATTGTGAACATGGACATCAGACTGCTTTATTAAATGGGCACGTTTTCTGTGAATTTGAGTTAAAACTTGAAATATCAACAGAGTAGGTAGCGGCATAATTTTGAATTTGATAAAGAAAGGTCGGCAGTGTTCTAGATAACTAACCCCTGCTAAAATCCTGACAGCTTTCTTTTGTATTCTAAAAATTTGAAGTGCATTTGTTGAATTGCCCCATATAATTAAACCATAGTTTAGGTGAGAGTGGAATAAAGAAAAATATGTCATTTTTAATGTTTCAAAGTTGACAACCCTTGCTAGTTGGCGAATAACAAATAATGAACTGGATAGCTGTTTCTTAAGGTGTGAGATATGAGTAGACCAGTTGAGTCGATTATCTATGGTTATTCCCAATAGTTTAACAGTCTCTTTGTTAACTAGATCATTGTGTAAATTACTTGCAGATATACCCATATTTTGCGTTTTATCAGAATTAAGTTTTAGTTTGTTTGCAGCAAACCATGAGCTAGATTTAGTAGTAACTTCCTCATGAGACATTTTTAAATCATCATTATTTTTTCCTGATATCACGTATGTCGTATCATCTGCGAATTGTATGGTTTTGTACGGAGATATGAATTTAGGCAGATCGTTGACATAAATAATAAACAAAAGAGGTCCTAAGACCGAACCTTGTGGGACTCCATGTTTTACGGATAGAAAATCAGAGAGATGACCTTTAGACACTACCGCCTGGTGTCTGCCACATAGATAAGAAGTTATAAGCTTAAGAGGGATACCTCTGATTCCATAGTAATTTAATTTGTGGAGCAAAATGTCGTGTGAAACGCAGTCAAAAGCCTTTGATAAGTCACAAAGAGAAATTGATATGCGATTGCCGCGTTCAAGCCCCTCAATCACCTCGCTCAAAACATTAAATACCGCGTTCGTAGTAGAACGAGCACTTCTAAATCCATATTGTGAGTTGCTAAAGTAATTATTTGATTCAAAATAGGAATAAAATTGTTGTTTGATAACCTTTTCAATCACTTTCCCAAAAGTAGAAACAATGCTTATGGGTCTGTAATTGTCAATTTTTGAGGAATCACCTTTTTTGTAGATTGGTATTACTTTTGAGTATTTTAGTACTTCTGGAAATACTCCGGTGGATAGAATTAAATTAATAAGATGAGTAAAAGGTGTTAAAACTATTTGGTAAGTTTCTTTTAAAATTTTGCTATTTATTTACTTAGTGGCCTCTGCAATGTGTTTGATAAGAGAAATATTAGATCTGTTAGACCTTAATTCATTATTAAACCATTGCACAGGTGCTTTTTCAGTCATTTGTCGTACTTTTTTTAGTGGAAAATACTGTAATATTAAATTGTTATAAGTTTCGGTAAGAAAGACTGTCAAATAATCAGGATCATTATTAATATCGTAGAAAAAGTCCATGTTTGTAATAGCTAGCGCACGTTTAAGCTTCTGTAAACCAGAAGAAGTAATAAACCGTTGAAATATTTGATTAGTGTCAATAACTTTATGCTCTGAGTCAATAAATAAAAATTGAGCTCGATGGTCAGAAAAACAAGGTTCAAATACGCCCACTCTATATATATTTTCAGAAAAATTTGTCATAATGTTGTCAATGCAACTTCTGGACTGGGATGTGATTCTAGTATAATCGTTTATAGTTATTTTTAGACCAAAAGATGTTAATAGATTTTGAATATCAAAAAGATGGTCAGATTCAATTTTAAAATTTATATTAAAATCTCCAAGTATGATTAGTTTGTCAGCTTTACTAAGCAAGGATGTTATGACATTTTCAAAATTCACCAAAAATAAGTCAAAGTCACCCTTACCCGATCTGTATACAGTTAAAATATTGGTTTTTATTGAAGGTACATAAATTGCACAAAACTCAGAACTTTGCTCTACATTATATTCATTTAAATTAAGAGAAGAATACATAAGATTTTCTTTTATATAAATTGTATATATAAATATACAATTATATACAATTGTATATATAAATATAAATAAACTCCGCCTTGTTTCTTTTTTACCCTACAAAAGAAATTAGCTAATGAGAATCCAGAGATGTTAATTAATTTTAAATTTTCTTCACTTAGCCAGTGCTCCGAAAAACATATGACGTCATATAATTTTTGATCCGCAAGATAAGCATTGATCATATCGACTTTATTTGAAATACACTGCAAATTAACATGAAACATGCTTACCGTACCCTTTCGAATTTGTTTATTTTGATGAAAGTTTGTAGAAGCTTCTAGGTTTCTTCCTCCGTCTTCTTTTTGTGCTGAAAATTTCTGTTGAAGTTAAATCTCCTAACTGCAGCTCCATTGGGCCAAATATTAGGACTGTAGACTTCGTCAATTTTATCGAAAGGGAAAGATATCTTATATGTGGAATATTTGTCAGTTTTATGCCATTCGACGCAGTTAAAAGTAATATCGGGTACCGTCTCACCCAAAAATTTTAGAAGATCATCGGCTTTCATATCAACACCAATGCGGGACACATGTACATGGCCTTGTCTAGGAATAGTGTTTACAGTAGACGATTCGTTGTTTCCAATAATCGGTTTGTATTTGTTTTCTTTTTTTGGTTGGGTATTCTATTAACAGGACACAAGATGAGTGTCCTGTTTTTAGATTGTTTTTATTTTCTTTTTGTTTATCACTCATGTATGAATGCGGTAGACTTGTGTTTTTGTTTAATGACATTTTAATGGGTTCTTGACTGATAGAACCTGAGTTGGTCGGGCTTGATTTATTTATAAATTTTTCGCTTGATGACGTAGGAATGGACATGGCTGAATTTTTATTATATTTATCTTTTAATAAAGAAATTAAATCTTGTTGCTCTTCCGTACGTTTTTCTAGATGGAATGATAGTTTACTTACTGCTGCGAGTTCACTTTTTATTGTAGTAAGTTCCATGTTGGTCTTTATACACTGTTCACACACAATAACGTCTAGGTTATGTTCGACATTAAAAGCTTTGATACCTTTTTGCACTGTTTGTGTTAATTTATTAACGTATTCTGATAACTGAGGATTAGAACCGGACAGTGGTAACTTTAAATTCACTAATATGTCAATTAATTCCTGCTTTTTTAGTTTATTTAGTTCCGCTGTTAAAACTGCGACTTGACTATCGGACGCCATCTTGACTGACGTCCGTGTATGTTAATATAGGTCTAATTGCTGCTTTATAGATTCTTGTTTTTGTGTCTTGTCTTTTTGGTGTTTGCTTTTCCAGAATGTGTCATTAAGAGATCCCCGCCGCTTTACTTGGTTTTAAGCTATGTTGTCGTACTTCGTCTTCAAGATCTTTGTAACTGGTTATATCTATTCCCAGATATCTAAACCTGGCTTCCTGCTTTATTATTTTCCCATCAATTTTGATTTTACACCGTAGTGGATAATTAGATATTGCCATACATTTGGTTTTTTCTGCTGATATTATCATATTGTATTTTTTGGCAGTTGTATTGAAGATGTGTGTTAATCTTTGGAGCTCGTCTTCTGCCTCGGCGATTAATGCAGCGTCTTTATAACATAATATTTGTATTTCTTTGCTCCCCATGTTGAAGCTATAACCTTTATGTACTGCTTTACTATTATTATATTAAAGAGAAGTGGACTTAACGAGTCACCCTGTACGACTCCGCTTTGTACAGCTATACACTGTGTTAATTTTCCCTTTATCTTTGCGTGTATTCGATTATGGAAGTAGATGTTTTCGATGGTTTATATACTATTGATTGGTATGTTTTTTTTATACAGTAGATTTAAGACATCTTCTTGGAACGAAACTTATTTAAATGCACCTAAATTAAAAAAGTGGTTATTTTTCAAAAATAATTTTCAATATCTAGATCAGGAGACTTAAGATTGTAAAATTATCATATTTTGTTCCGTTTCATGTTTTAATTATGATAAGATATAATTACAATATGAATATTAAATATTTTTTAAACAAAAAATTGAAGTGTTAGTAAATGTGCACATGTATTAATAAAAAATTCTTTGTTTAATTTATCTATACACTAGCATTTCAAATAATATCTATATCTATCGGATACTTCATTTGAATTATTTATTCGGCATAAATAATAGAATTTAGTATAAAATGAGTTTTATACGAATATTATTAAACATTGTAGAGGTAAACGTTTACATTTTGAAAGTTAATTGAAGTGTTGAATTATGAAATTGTTAATATTTCTGTTTTGTATTGTTGCAGTGAATTGTCTCAGTGATCTTGAACTCTGGACCGATTTTAAGGTAAGAATTAATAGAAATTTAAATATTAATCTGCAATAGTATGTAGATTTCTTTAAATTCTACATACCGACACCTCCTACGTAGAATATCGTAAGAGCATTCGGTCAACTTTACAGTAGAGCTGAAAAGGTTCGCTCATTGTCTATTGATGATTGTGCAGTGAGCTAACAACTAATATATTTGAAAATTTGCATATTAATTAAGAAATAGCTGGGAATTATTCCTGTGGAGTACATGAATTAACATTACTTCTTGTTTTCGAGAAAAATCACTTACGATATTTTACGTTGACCAACATAAATAGTAAATTATAGTATGTAACACTTACTATGTATTACGTTGGACACTATACAAAACTATTTGTCGCATGTTATAGATACTATATATTTCTTTATAAAAAATGGTAAATCATTGTTGTAAGTAGTAGATAATACATTCTACTCCATTAAAATTTTAAATTATAATGTCGTATTATCCTCACTGTCAAAAAAAAGTCAGGGGTATTTTTAGGAAAGTAGGCAATGAAAAAGCATGAAATATTATTGATAGAATCATACTACAATATTTTTTTGATATAATTATCGTTATTTGTCTTTCAAGTAATGTTGGTTGTGATTTGTTTTTTTTAATGTGACATTTATCACATTGTTGCTTTTTGGGAACGTTAAAACTCGATTTAAAATGTTCGTTAACAATATCACGATATTGCCTTTCAGGATTAGCTATAGACCTGTTCATCAAACCATTCCTTATATAAAGCGTAGGAAATTCAAATCGCTATACAACAAAAGATTATCACTTCTACTTCGTGTATAATGAGATTTTATGGGTCAAATGGACTTGATGTGATCACAAACATATTTGACAATGTCTTCGGTTATCGCCTTACGATGATGGTGACGACATCTCAAATCTATTTATATCAAACCGCTAGTAACGTCTATTTTTTTCAAAACAGTGTAGACAAATTGTTCTTATAGTATTTCTTGTATGTATTAGTTCTTATGTACTTATAGAGGAAGTACTTAAAAACGTCTATATACAAACAGATATAAATTATCACTTATCACCTCTCTTCACTTTCAGTCTGTAAGTAAATGAGACTAAAATTGTCCCTTGATACTGTATCAGTAAAAATCATTTTTCTTTTGTTTTAGTATTAAGTAAGCCACAAAATCCCATTGCTTTTCCCTCTTACTTAAATTTCTAAATTAATTGAAAATGGAAATCTTTTCATCGGTACTAATTTTTGAAGATCATTTTTGTCTACAATTTTCTGAACACATCGGTGTTATTGATTTCGCAAAATGTACCATCACGACTTTTATATGATTTACCTGTATTTTTAGTATCTTTTTTGTATTATTAATCCAAGATGCAACATGTTGATGTCTGATGTTATCTACATCCTTTCGAGAAACCATTTTTCTTTTTTTAAAACATTTCGGAGTTGATTCAAAAAATGAAGAAATCGGGGTTTTAGCTTGAGGTGTTGAAAGTAGGTTAGTAGCGGATGAAATGGTTGACTGCAGTTTTTGTATAGCATTTTTATACCAGTTCAAAAGTAGTTATCACAATCATAGTCTGAATGGTTTTTAGCATAATTTGGGGATGGGATGTGTTGTTATCTTCCTCTGACTGGTTCTCTGTTGATTCTAAAAATAATTCATCATCATTCAGCCCATACTCGTCCACTGCTGAACATAGGCCTCCCGTAGTTCACCCCACAAATTTCTGTCCTGAGCCGCCTGCATCCAATTTTGATGTGTCCGTTTCAGGTCATCCGTCCATCTTGTTGGTGGTCGTCCTCTATTCCTAAAGGCATCTTGTCTGGGTCTCCTTTCAAGAATGCGTTTTGTCCATCTGCCGTCCTTCGTTCTCTCGACGTGCCCTGCCCAGTTCCATTTTAAGGTTGATATTTTTTTGATTGCGTCGGTTACTCCCGATCTATGGCGCAATTCTGTGTTGGGTATTCGGTCTCTCAGGGTTAATCCCAACATGGACCGTTCCATTGCCCTCTGTGTTGTTCGAATTTTGTTTGCGGACGTCTTAGTAAGTGTTAGCGTCTCCGCACCATAGGTTAGAACCGGCAACACACATTGATCGAAGACTTTTCTCTTCAAGCAGATGGGAAGAGCTGATTGGAAAACATCTCTTAGCTTTCCATAAGATGCCCATGTCAACCCTATTCTACGTATTAGTTCATTGGTCTGGTTATCTCTACTTAAGCGAATTTCGTGTCCCAGATATTGGTATGCTGATGTTTGTTCTATACTTGTTCCAGCTATGTTGATGTTCTCACTCAGAACAAGGTTTGTCATCACTTGTGTTTTTGAGTTATTGATCTTTAAACCCACTTGTGTAGAGGCACGGTAGAGTCTTTCCCACATTTCGATGGCATGATCTATGCGGTCTGTTATCAGGACTATATCGTCCGCGAACCTGAGGTGACTAAGCTGCTCTCCATTTATGTTTATGCCCTTTTCGTCTAGGTTTGCATGCTTACACATGTATTCCAATAATGTTGTAAACAGTTTTGGTGAAATGGTGTCGCCCTGGCGAACTCCACGATGAATGTTGAACTTGTATGTATCTTCATGGAGTCTGACGCATGCCGTGGCATTATCATAGATATTTTTGATGACAGTGGTGTAGCGGTGATCTATTCGGCACTCTTTTAAAGCTTCTAGCATTTTCTGGTGGTTTACTGTGTCAAATGCTTTCTCATAATCCACAAATATTAGGACGAGGGGTTTATTGTACTCTATACATTTTTCGATGAGGCTTTTAATAACTTGTAGATGGTCGTTTGTGTCGAAGCCTGACCTGAATCCTGCCTGTTCGCATGATTGGTAAAAGTCCATTTTGTTCGAAAGTGTGTTTGTTATGACTTTTGTAAAAAGCTTGTATATGTGTGAGATGAGGCTGATTGGTCTATAGTTTACGAGATTTGTTAAATCTCCTTTCTTAAACATTAGAATGATCACTGCATTTTGCCATTGTGATGGTGTTGTTCCTCTTTCAAGTCATTCTGTGAAGAGTATGGAAAGCATTTGTATCAGTTTCTCGCCTCCTAATTTTATGGCTTCGGCAACGACCCCGTCGTCGCCAGGTGACTTATTATTTTTCATTTGTAGGAGAGCTTTTTTGATTTCATCAACAGTAAGATCTGGTATGTCTTCCGAGCCCTGGTTTAGAACCTTTGGTATGTTGTCAGTTGGAACATTTTCTTCTGTTTTGCTGTAGAGTTCGCTGTAAAATTGTCCGACAGTTTGTAGAATTTCCTGTTTATCTGTTATTATTTCGCCCTTTGTGTTTTTCAGTTTGTAAATATTTTTCTTTCTTATTTGCTGTTTCGTTCTGAAGACTTTTAAACTTTTGTTCTCTTCTATGACTTATATGACAATATTAAGTTAATTTATATTTACCATTGTGTACCAATAAATAATATTTTTATTATTTTTTATTTATAAATATTAACCAGAAAACGGGTAAGGAGGAATGATATTAAAATTTTCTTCATCAACTGTATCTGACAAAAAATCCATAATTTGTTCTATTGCTCTCTTGTCTACATCTAATGGCAGAGGTGATTCTGGAAAAAGAAAATGAAATTAGTTAAATTTCAAGTTATCTATGGCAAGTAGTAGATACGATAAAAAAACAATATGAAACGACAACCTAAAACATCGTATCATATACATACGACATAATTTTTTTTTATTTTATGGTGTAAAATATCTTATTATATCTAACACACAAGATATTTTTTGATAGCAAAAACAACGTAAAATATAGTAAATATAACTTACGATATTTTTCGTCGGTTAAAACAAAAAAATATTTCGTTTATAATAACATACTCATTTTACTACAAAATATCAATAGATAATAATACACCTTTATATATGCACTTTAACGAAATTTCCTCCTTTCTCAGGTTAGGATTTTTTGGCACCCGTCATTGCAATTTAGTTGTATTCAATATTTATTGGATTTTTGGGTCAAACTATTATCTATCTATTATCTATTTGATATCTATCTACTATTCTAATTCACACCTACCCTTATGACGCTGTTGATAATAAGCAACGAGTCCTTGCAACAGATCTTCTTCTCTTTGACTATCTTGAGTTGTTTTTCGTTACAGTACGTTAAAAATATAATATTCCTATTAAATAGAAAACTACGTTTTTCAGGTAAAATTTGAAAAATCCTACAGCGACCAAAATGAAGAAAACCAGCGATTTAAAATATTTCAAGACAAATTACGCCAAATTGAGGAACACAACGCTCGATTTAACAATGGAGAGGAGACCTATACAAAGGGAGTTAACCAATTTAGCGACTGGACTCACGAAGAATACCTTGAAATGTTAAGTTATAGTAAAGCAATCCGTCCAGCTCGTTCTCAACATGTTACGTATAGGAGAATTCATCGAGAAGCATTAGCAAATCTTCCAGAGTTTGTTGATTGGAGGGAAAAGAATGTAGTTACAGAAGTTAAAAATCAAGAAGCTTGTGGATCTTGTTGGGCTTTTAGTACGGTAAGTAGTTTAGAATATTAAATAAATATTACTATTTAATAAACAAATAAAAAGGATTTCGTATTTTAAAATAAAGAACAAGAGCAAGGACAATGATAACATTCAACATATACGCATTAACAACAAGTTCACCTCCAAATGACAATAATAATAATAAAAAAGAATTATATGAAAAATTAAAATGTGTAGGGACTACCTCTTCCTCAGGTATTATCTTTACTGTAAAGGTTGGTTATCACCATGGTTATTTTAACTTCAGAAACAGCTGCTCTAAAGAGTTGACCCGAACTACATCCAAATTATACCTAAAATTTCTGATCCAGAATATATAAATTATTTCGCTACTTCTGTTGCTCACTATTTTTTGTTGCAAACATTTCTGAGTAAGTAGGTTTAGGGCAACTAAACTTTCTTTATTATATCAAATCGGACACTGTTTCAAAATAAAATTATTCACTCCTCATACCGAGTGTAAAACACACGGTATAAGGTAGCATAATCTTGTATTGAGATATTTCTCAAGAACTGTTCTATTAACATCCATTAAAATATATAGGGCGTTATATTTAAATTAAGGAAGTTATAGTCAACTTCCGGTATAACCGGAAGTGCTAGAAGTCTCTGAATGTTTTAGAATAATTTGACATATCCAAAAACCATATTACATCTTCAATTTTTATTTATTAATTACCTACGTCAAGTTTCTCTAAAACGTCTAGTTAACACTCGCAAAAAATTATCTTTTATAATTGTATTTTATATTATCTATAAAGCAACTTAAAATAAAAATTGCATCTTTTTTAGACCGGAGGATTGGAAGGACAGTATGCTTTGAAATATAACAAACTGGTATCTTTAAGTGAACAAAATCTTTTAGACTGTTCCGATGCCTATGGAAATGGAAATTGCAGCGTAGGAGGAGTGATGAGATTTGGACTAGATTACGTTAAGGACAATGGTATTAACACAGAGGAAACTTATCCTTATGAGGCTGTACAAAAGGAGTGTCGTTATCAACCTTCTCAAAATGTATTACATATTAGTGGATACGAGGTTTTTGAACAAGACGAGCAAGCACTAAAATATGCCGTAGGTATGTAAGAAAATAGTAATAATAATAATAATAAATAATAAATTAGTAGTGGGACGTGATTTTATTACCGGTGATTTAGTCACGGTGATTTATAAATCACCGATAATGACCGTTTGTTTATAACTTCGGTAACCGTGACCAGTGGCCATATATGTCAGATATAAATTCACGGTCACTGTCTCACAAAACGTGTTTATATACTAAATATGATATCCTCAGAATATTACGGACTGAAATACGTGATATTTATGATATCTCTGATTATTGTATTTGTTACCCTCTTCTTCTTCATCCAGTCTTATTTTAATAATTTGTGTGAAAACTTTGTATATGTGTAAATGAAAACTGGTAGTACGGTAGTTTTGTTAGATTTGTTATACTTCCTTGCTTATGTAATAAAACAATACTTGCATTTTGACTTAGTTTTTCTTTATAGATCAGGACTTACTTCCATTAATTTTAGTACCTTCGTTATGCTATTATTGATTTGTTCTACAACTTCTATTTCTTCTTTTAAGTCTTGTATATGTCTGGTTAGTGCATTTTTATATAGGAAATATTTACAATGGTCTTTAAACCTCGTAGCTCTCTGTGATTATACAGCTTAAAGTGGTGTTATATTCTGGTTCTATTTTCTTACTATAGCAATAGTGCTATTGCTTTTCTTCGTTGAATATTTCTGTGTATAATGGCTTTATATAGTATTCTGTTATATGTAAATAATTGTATATTAATTGTTATTAAAACGGCTTCCATACTATACAACTACACACATATACACTACGTTTTTGTAATTGGCTTCTAATCACAATTTTTACCTTCTCATCATTCTGTTGTATTATTACTACTTTTTTCTCTTTCTTTTTCCGTTTAATCATTACTAAGGACCATGTTTTTCTCCAATACCTACAACAAAATTTCTCTATTAGTCTATATCTTTAGCTGCTCTAAGCAGAATGACTGGCCCGCTGAATTCTGAATTTGATCGGGCCATCTGGTCTTGGCTTAATAATTTCTGATATAATCGCACTATTGGAATGGGACAGATATTGGACTGGTACAGATTTTTAGGCATATCAGTGTCCCCATGGATACTGGTATACCCCACTTAAGTGTCCCCACTTAAATGGACCAAATATTTATCCAGCTTTCGAATGACTTTTGGTAGTCAACAAAGCATATTGTCATGGGTACTTAGAATTATCTCGACTCTCGACATTTATCCTTATAAGTTACTTCTGATTTATCAATCACTATCAATATGGGGATCCACGATGTTCTCAAAATTTGATGATATTACTACAGTTCCAAAGTTTTTATTATCTTATTTTTTGAAATATCCATATTACATGATCAATGTTTAAAAGTGTAGTTTTTAATTTTTCTTGCTTTCAATTTCAGCTACTTACGGACCAATTAGTGTAGCCATAGATTTTAGTTTGGCTGGTGGTTACGCTAGCGGCATCTTTAATAACCCAGCATGCCACAACAAGCCAGAAGAATTAAACCACGGGGTTTTAGTTGTTGGATATGGAACAGAAAATGGCATCGACTACTGGATTGTTAAAAATTCCTGGTCTGCTAACTTTGGAGAAAAAGGGTATATAAGAATGATTAGAAATGCGAACAATCAATGTGGAATCGTTGACGATACTTCTAGGGCTTTAGTGATATAAATTTTGTTAATTATTTTAAATAATATTTGTAATTAATAAAATTATTGCACAGAAATAAATATAATCTATTTATTATAAGTTGGTTTTATTTGAATGCACCAACATGTTTTAATACATAGTTTATTTTACAATATAGGTATGTGATGTATTTCGCAAAAAGATAAGTGTACTTTCCTATTTAACGTGCACTCCTAACGCTTATTTAACGAAGCACTACACAATATAGAACACGAAATTATGATAAATGAAGAACTGGTGAACAACTTAACGTAAGCCAAAGACCTTTTTATTGTAGGCCAGGTGAATAAGCAAAAAAGTAGTCTGTTTATGACACAAAAGCGGCCAGGCAAATGACAGTTGTTTTGAGTAGTATGGACCTCTGTAACATAAAGCCTTAGCCTTCTATCGTCGATTTTGGAACATAGGCTTTTCTCAACTTCTACAATTGATCTGTATTGTGAGTAACATATTTCCGATTTATTCCAGCTATTTTTTTGAAGTCATCTACCCATCTTGCCCGTGGTATTCTTCTTAGTTGTCAACTTTTGTAAGGTCTCCAATGTTGTATTGGGCCATTCCAACCTTGTTTTTTTTTGTCTATGGCCTGTGAAGCTCTATTTGACTTTGGTAATTTATGTTGTGATTTCCTCGACTTTTGTTTTTGATCTTCCTCTGTCGTTCCTTTTTCTATCTGACTATCTTTCTATCTAACATTTCCTTTTCCATTGCTCTTTCTGTTGAGGCTAGTTTGTTAAGTCTTCCATGATAGAAACGATGCACTGGTTAAACAATCTGTTCCTCCAGTATTAAGGTATTTGGCGGTCTTAAGTATCCAACTGAGTTTTCCAAGTCCTCCCCATCGCAGTCTTGTTCTTTCAGTGATTTCTGTACTTCGGTTTTTTATAGTTTCAGAATTTGGAAAAGGTAGACATATTTCTGGGCTCACTAATGTGGGGTCGTTTAACTTTAAGGAAGTTTCAAAGATATCTTCTAGGACTAAAATAACAGCTTTAGCAATATTATGTCCCCTTGTCGAATGCATCTCCTTTATTGGGATGGGATTTGTATTTTTGTCTAGTTGTATGATCATAGTTGCGTTCTTATCGATCTAAATAATCGCTCATTTTACAACCCATATCTAAATAATATCAAATGCCTTTACATAGTCTACGAAGGCAAGAATGACGGATAGTATTTGCCTTCTTTATCAACGTTTTTATTGTCAGCAGATGGTCGGATGATATATCCTTTGCAAAATCCAGCTTGTGCTACTGGTTGGTAATACTATCTATTTTGTAAGTCAACCGATAGTAAATAATTCTCTTAAATTCTCTGATCCCATGTTTTTTATTTTTATTTTGCCGTTCTCTCTTATTGGTTCATTAGGTTGGCTTTGCAAGCTGTATGAAATTTTGTAGAAGTCTTTAACAATCTTTGTTATGTTATATTTGTCATCCCCTTTCTCCAGATGTAGCCATACGACTCACATTCCTTCTAATGGGAACATTCACTCATCCCAGATACCTTCGGTATCAAAAGGATTAAGCTCTGGCGGGACTCTTTTCGTGATCGAGCCCTAGGTACGCTGGAGTATCTCCTAAAAATTTTCTTACACATCTGGACATTGAAAGTAGTACAGCTTTCTGCATGGTCTTGTAGAGTGTTCATTCAGACCTAGCTTCTTTATGGTTTCTAGGAGGTTCTTTGGGATGATTCCAGCAGTAGAGAGAATAATAGGTATTGTCTGGGTACTTTTCATTCTCCACTTGAACTTCCAGATTCCTGTACTCTCCCTACTATTCCCAGAACGATCTTTTCGTTATGTTTAATACAAAGATTATTGTTGTTGGGTATCGCTGCATCAATTAGTGTCGTTTGTCTGATATGAGGTCTGATCTATTATGCACCACTGTTTGGTCTATGAGTTAGTGCGTTACCATTATAGCTTGTAGTTGTCATTCTCAAGTATACTTTCAGGAACGTATTGGTAATATGGGAGATGGTTTGGTTGACGAAGTCCTAGTTTGATGGCTATCTCTTGATGAACGATATTTGCTACTGAGTCGTGCTTTTCCTTATATTCAGTTGCAGCAAATGCCTGGCAGCCCCCGTAAGATGTTGGATGGTTTCTTGAGCTTGAGACATCCATATTGGCATTTGTCATTTTGGACCTGAGGGTTTTTGACGATATATTTCAGGTAATTTTTGGTTGGTATAACCTGATCCTGAATGGTGAGTAACGAACCTTCTGTTTCAGGGAACATCTTTTCTGATGTTGGCCAATAGTTCCCTCTTCCCCTGGTTCCCCTGGTTCCCTCAAATGTAGAGTAGATGTCTTAACCTGCACCTGAAAATAAGTTCTTAAATTAGTAATTTATTTTTCTAGTTGCTTACTTATATCCATAAGTCCTCGTCCTCCTAAATACCGCGGTAATGTCGTTTTTTCTACTGCACTTCGAGGATGGTGTTTTTGTGATTTTGTAAGGTGTGATCGTACTTTTCGCTGGAGATTTTCTATTTTTGTCCACTTAACAATACCAAATGAGTAGCTAAGTGCGGAACATACTTAATTATTTAGTCCTTTTCCTTATTATTAGTGTCTCTAATTTTGATAATTTTTTGAACACCCAGTCTTAGAGATGTTGGCCCCTGTTGTGTTCCATGACTTATTGTACTAAGTTCTTATTTATGTCACATTTTAGTTATTTTCTAATTTTTCTATTTATTTCTACGTATTCTTGAGTATAACGTTTGTTTCCCGATAGTAGTTGTATTCTTTCCATCATTAGTGGCTTAAGTTCGTTGCTTACTTTGTCGTCTTTAGTTCTTATTTACTTTGACATAAAGTTATTTCAGTGTAGTTTAATTAGACAATTTTTATTAAATCATTGTGATATATCATGTTCTAGGAATTGATTCAGATTTAAGTAATAATCTGATTAGTAAGTATCCTAATACTTAATAAATATTTTTCTATTGGTTATAGATACCTAGATATTAGAAATATAAAAACGAAAGCATGGAGGAAATTTTATTATTTGTTTTGATTTAGTGTTTGTTCCTTCAAATAATATATTTTAAACTTGTGTAATTATGAAACTGTTTATTTTTATAATTACTATAGTGACAGTCAATTGCCTGAAAGATATACACATATGGAATAATTTTAAGGTAAACTTTCATGAAGATAGCTTTTACTTAAAATACTTAGAATAAAATAATTAAATAAATACAAAACATACATCCTGTTTACTAATACAAAATATACACTGCTTAACAGTTGAAGTGAATATTAGACAAATATTTAAATGTGTTAAAGTTCCAAATAAATAAAAGTCTTCAAAGACCTTGTTTGGCTGTTAAAAAAAGCAGACAAATATTTTTCAATAAAATAAATTTTTTAAGCCCTTTTCTCTTTTCAGATTGCCGAATATAGGCGTCTCCTAATTCTCGCCATTCATCTCTGGTGTTTGTAAGATGTTTCCACATTGGTCCTGCAGTTCTTTTAATATCGTCATTCCAGCGCATTTGCGGTCTTTCTCGTGGTCTTTTGGCTTCATATAGCCGCCAATTCCCGATTTTTTTTTATTCCATCTGCCATCCTTGAGACTTTCGTTATGTCCAGCCCATTTCCCTTTCAGTTAAGCTGCCTATTCGACAGCATCCTTTACTTTTGTTCTATTACGAATGTCTTTATTACTTTTATGGTCTTTGAGTGAATATCGAAAGGCGATAAATCGGGACTATAGGGTGGATGCCTAAATATCAATCATTTTTTTGTTGTATATTTTCTCATTTTCCATTGTTTTACCAACCGATATATACTCTGATTAAAGAATTCTTGTAGATCTTGTTCAAAAAAATATATTTTTTCGACTTCTGTACTTTTCTTAGATCGACTAAACAATACTTGTTTTTAACATCTTGTTTAGTGGCCCAAAATCGCGAGATAATAAATCAAGACTATAGGGTGGATGCTCCAATATTCTCCATTTCTTTTGTTGTAGATTTTCTTTTACTACTTAAGGCAACATCAGATATGGTTGGTCGTGCAGAAAAATAAAACCACGTGAGACATCTCCTGGTTATTTCGTCTTATTGGTTGATGACAGATTTGCGTTGACATGCATTCTAGATTTTCTAAACTCTACAAGCAATTATTGACGAAGAATGTCATTACAGTTTACAATGTGTAGAACCTACCACTGTTCTGTTGAAACCACCATCTCATTGAATTCAAAAGTACATTTATTCTAATTGAAGTTCTTAATGATTGATATTTAGCGCTCGCTATTGATAGTGATACTCTGGCCAACGTAGTTCTCAATGAAATATGGATTTATGGTGTCGTCAACCTAAAATCCACCCCAAACGGTTACTTTTTCGAAGTGCCATGAATGCTCTAGGTCATCATCTGGATTGTATTGTTTAAAATTCGACAAATGTATTAGTAACTGTTCATCACAAAATGGACGTCTCAGCTAAAGATGATTTTTATATTAAATTAGTGATAGTTTCCAACTGGTATAGAGTCGTTACGTAAGTCGAGCGAACACAAGTCGTTGTTTGTAAAGGCTTATCTTCAGATTCTGAGTCAGTTAAATTTTGTACGGGTACAGGATGAAGTAACGACGGTTTAAGTTGTGCTTTATGAAAGACTGAGTTCTGGTGACTGAAGTAAAATTGATTTTATCGGATTCTTCTTCACACTCTTATATAGCAGGCTTGTTTTTAGTAGATTATCAAGTTTCGTCGACATATGGGTATTGGTTGAATGTTTTGAAGTTGATTTAAGATTAAAGGCTTTAGGAAATACTAAAAAATAGCTGTATTTTAATATTACTGTAATAAAATTAAGCTGAAAATCTGAAAAAGTACTGACAGTGTATAATCCAAATCATTCAGAATTTTATAAATATTTAAATAAATAGGGAAACCTAGTTTATTGTTTTATTGTTTGTGGTATCATCATTACAATTAATATTTTATAGTGATCTAATCTTATCTAATATAATTTAATAAAATCGATAAAATCTCGTTTATTGATGTTTTCCATATGAGCTAAATGTAGGTTTTTAATTTTTTAATAAAGTTTTAGTACAGTTTTTATTTAAATCAAAACTAATAATAAGTATAGAGTTTGTGGATAAAAAAAGGTTTTTACAAATTTTTAAGATGGTTTTAATATTTTAGGAAACATTTGAAAAATCGTACATCGATCAAAATGAAGAAGTTGACCGCTTTAAAATTTTCCAAGATAATCTACGTCAAATCGAGGAGCACAATGCTCGGTACAACATGGGAAAAGAAACTTACAAAATGGGACTTAACCAATTCGCCGATTTAACTCGTGATGAATTTGTCCAAATGTTGGGTCTCAGTAAAAGAGTTCGTCCAAGTCGGGCACACAATGTTACTTTGACGAGTTTTTCCCGGGAAGTTTTAGCAGATGTTCCAGAATCTGTGGATTGGCGAGATAAGGGTGCAGTTACACCAGTTAAAAATCAAGAATGGTGTGGATCATGCTGGGCTTTTAGTGCTGTAAGTTTCATTAATAAAGATCAATATTATATTAACGCTAAAATTAATTATAATTTTTACAGATCGGTGGATTGGAAGGACAATACGCTATTAAATATAACAAGCTGATACCATTAAGTGAACAAAATCTGGTTGATTGTGCAGGACCTTACGGTAATGGAGATTGCAATGCAGGAGGAATAATGAGTAGGGGATTTGACTATGTTAAAGACAATGGTATTAACACGGAAGAAGATTATCCGTACGATGGGGATACAATGAGCTGTCGTTACCAACCTTCCAAAAACGTCTTACATCTCAGTGGATATCAACAAATTCAACCAAATGAGGATGCATTAAAATATGCAGTAGGTAAGAGCCAACATATTATAATAATAAAACTTTTATCAACTATTTGTTGGTATGATTTTCGGTGTAATTCCAATGGAAAATGATTTTTTCTATTAACTGTTGGTAATTATTTCTTTGGCTTACTCTCTTTTTAGGCACTCCCAGACATTTTCAATGTAGTTTATGTCTGGTCAGTTGCCGGGCCATGGTAAGAGCGGAATCTCTTGTTCTAACAAAGATGTTTAATACTTTTAGCCATATGACAAGATGCTCTATCCTGCATAAATATCTTAGGGCTGTTACCAAACCATTTGTTCACCTGTGAAAGCAATCTTGTCTGCAAAACCCTTTTATATTGATCTTGTCACATGCTTTCTGTTACTACATACAAACATCTTAATCTTTTGCCACTAATCACCGCCCATATCATTACTAAGGTAGCTTGTTTAATTGTATTACTTACACACCTCTTTTCATATTTTTCCCCTGGACGTCTTCGGACAAACTGGGCATTGTCATTCATAATTTGAAATGTGGCTTCATCGCCGAAGCAACTCTTAAACTTTAAACAAGTATACTGTCCAATAGAATAAACAAAGAATGCACAATTAGTGAAGACCAACAAGACTTTTGACAAAATAAGTGTACGGTTGAAGCCATATTCATACCCAGACGCATTGCCGAAGAAGCCTTGGAATATAATAAAGGTTTCACAAGTTTTTATTGTAATTAATTTTATGCCTGTTTATGTTATTTTCTACGTTCAAGGATGTGTATATCTATGACATTTGTATATTTTATTGTATTGTTTTAAATATATTTTAAATTTTAGCTACTTACGGTCCTATTAGCGTTGCAATAGACGCTGGTCCTGCTCAGTTATACGAAAGCGGTATCCTAAATGATCCAAGGTGTAAAAATAGACCTGATGAACTAAATCATGGTGTATTGGTCGTTGGATACGGAGTGGAAAATGGTAAAGACTATTGGATCATAAAAAATTCCTGGGGACCTAACAGTGGAGAAAAAGGTTACATCAGGTTGATTAGAAATGCCAATAATCAATGCGGAATTGTTGATGATGCAAGCAGACCTCTTGTAATATAAGTTTAGTTATAAATAAAAATTATTAACTTTTGTGTAAATTTATTTATGAATAACAACTATATAAATAACGTGTCAAGAACTGGAGCAACATGCAAACCGCCATGAAAGTCATGAACTATTTAAATAAGTTAAACATTTGGCCCGAGAGTTCAAGCCACAAGTTCAAGCCATTTAAGACCATAATGGAAAAGTAAAAACCGACATACAAGAGCATTGTAGAGACATGGAAAAATTTTTGCTCAGAACTATATAAAGACACTCCAAAAGATGCATCAGTCTCAAAACACAAAAAACCTGCAATCAGAGAGGTAGAACCAATAATCGTATAAGCAGAAGTAGAGAAGGCTTTCAAACCAACTAAAAAACAAAAATCCTCAGGGATCCATGGCATACTAGCTGAGACTCTAAAAGCAATGGGCGAGATTGGCGTAGATGTAATAATGGATATGTGCAACATAGTATGGATCATAGATGAATGAATTGATGAGTGATGCGAATCAACCTTTATTCCTATCCATAAAAAAGGAATCAGTAACCGTATGCAGGAATTACAGAACTATTACAAGTAAAGTCCTGCTACATATTATCAATGAATGGCTAAAGAACTTTCTACTTCCAGGGATAGCCAAAGAACAATGCGGATTCGGAAGAAAATGCGAGAAAACACAAAATACCAATGCTATTCTGTTTCGTAGATGACACAAAGGCTTTCGATTCAGTGAAATAGGATCCCCTCTGCAGTTTAATTGAAAATATGGGATTATCTATCCACCAAGTTAACCTGATAAGAAATCTGCATACTAAAAACTAAATCAAAGTTAAAACACTATTTATATATTTAGATGTGCTTCAAACTAAGAAAGGAACTAGACAGGGCTGCATACTATCACCACTATTGCACAACATATATTTTCAATATATAATGAGAAACGTACTAGAAGACTGGGATGGAGAAATCATTATAGGAGATAGAAAAATTAGCAACCTGCAATATGTAGTAGATACACTTACACTAGCAGCGAATGAAGTTCGAAATGATTACCATCACTGAATGGCTTAACCAGATAAGCGAAGAATTCGGACTTAAGATCACCACCGGAAAAACAATAATAATGATCGTAGACAGAGCAAATAATAATCTATTGCATATACACCAAGTGGCGAATTTCGAAGAGGTAGATTTGTATACTTGGGCTCCCTGATAACCAACAATGGCAATTGCTCCTTAGAAATCAAACTTAGGCTATGAATAGCATAAACCGCAAGAGCTTAACTAATTAAAATATGGAAAGACCAAACAATAACATGAGATACTAAGCTCAGATTGGTCAATGTCCTTATTTTTTGCAATGCTACGCAGCTAAAACATGGACTCTCAAAAAAATCATAGATAGAAGTAGGATAAAAGCCTTCGAAATGTAAGTCTATAGAAAAATTCTACGCGTGTCCTCAACAGTACATAGAATAAACCTGTCAATTCTGGAAAAACTTCATATAAAAGACAGAATAATAAAAAAGTAAACCAAGCATACCTAATTTACTTCGGCCACATAGCTAGAAGGACGAAGACCATGGAACTATTAGTAGTAGAAAGAAAGTTAGAAGGCCTAAGAACAAGAGGAAGATCTCTAACACGATATGGGCAGATGAAATAAAGACCCTGGTGGGATAAGCCCTACATAAAGCTGTCCACATAGTACAGGATCGCAGCTAATGAAGACAGTAAGCCAATAATATTTAAAATGTTACCACGCGCTGATAGGGGCTCAAGGAATGAGGAGGAGGAAATTTATGTGGGATTGTATAAAGACATGTGATTCCTAATGCAAGAATATATTTTTTCTTTTATTTTCTTTTTTATGTGGTTCTTATTCATGCCGGATATTGGCGAAAATCATGACGATTTTGACTTTTTCTATCTCGAAACGGCACTGCGGTCGGTATATTAAACCAAATTCTTAGGTTTTGAAGCCAGGAAAAATGTCGTCTTCCCCGAGGTTTGTTATCAAAGATCCTTTTACTTAAATAACCAATTAAAGTAAGCCATTATCATCATCGTCTAGCTTTATGCGTGCCAATTTAAACATAGGTTTTCCCTAATTTCTTTCAGTTCTGTCGGTCATGAGCTTCCTGCAGCCAATTTCCAGCGATTCTTTCGACATCGTCTGTTCATCGCGTAGGTCGTTTACCTCTGTATCTTCTCTCTGCTCGTAGTCTCAACGCTGTACTTTTTGAGTTGACCGCCTGTCATTTGTTCTGGCTACTTGGCCCGTTCTTCTTAGGCTACTTTAGGCTTCGCAGCTACCAGACTACGAATCTGATACCTGCGACTTCGGTTAAGAATTGTGATTCGGCGCTATGTCATGACTAATAGTACATATTGGTCTTTTTTCTTTTTCAAAATATTCGGCATGTTCCCCTTGAAGATGTCTGATAGAGCTACATATGCTGCCCAGGCTCAAGTGATTCTTCTTTGCAGTTCACCAGTTTGGTTATATTTATATATATAAATGAATGCTATTTCGATGCAGTCTATTTTTGGATAACATAACATTGGCTTGGTAACACAATTATATTCTGTCTTTCCAACTTTAATTTCAAACCAACTGTCTTGCAGTCATAAACACTTTAGATTCTTTAACTATTTTGTTGAAAACTTTATAGTTCGTCACTCAATGAACCCATGAGATCTACAGTAGCACCACATCTCGTAAACCTCAGACATCCTCTGACAGACATCCTCTGTTTAAAAGATGGAGTTCAAACTTCCACACCGTAAAGCAAAACCGAAATTATATAGCACTTAATTGGTCGATATTTTTTGCTAGACGTAGATTAAATTCTCTTATTAGGATGGTTAGGTTATTCTTCATAAACTTTCTTACGGTTTTCTTGAAAGCGCTGTAGAACTCTTCTATTATAAATCCTGGTTTGTCAACTTTGGAAGTGTACACTTGAAATACATAAGTTTTTATGGACTTAAATTTTAGCCGAACTGGTATGATGCGTTCGGATATGGGTATAAAATTTGTGAAGTACTTGGAGGTTTTATTATTTAATATTAGTTCGACTCTATTTATTTGTTCGTCCTGAGTTATTCCTACTACTTAGTTATAACTTAGTTATAACTACTGAAAATAACCTTAAATAAATAAATAAATAACCTTAGTTATAACTACTGAAAATAAGCTGGGTCGACAGAGTTAGAAATGAGGAGGTCCTTAGACGGCTGAACCAAACAACACAACTGGTCAATATAATAAAGAAACGCAAGCTGGAATACTTCGGTCATATTATGAGACACCCTGAAAAATATGATCTTTTACATCTGATCATTCAGGGAAAGATCCAAGGTAATCGTGGTCCTGGTAGAAGAAGAACATCATGGCTGAAAAATCTAAGGCAATGGTATGGAAAATCAACTACATCGTTATTTAGAGCTGCTGTCAATAAAGTCACGATAGCGAATATGGTAGCCAACATGATATCCAACGATCGATAACGGTCATGGAACTAGAAGAAGAAGAGTTATTCCTGATTAGGAAATCTTATGGTTTTTGACTGTGCTGATAAAACACATTACAACGAGGGTTTGATACACTGCGACTTTTACAAATTCTTGTACTTCCCTTTGTTACTTAAAGTATCTTTCTATATATATCTCAACCTTGTGAGAACATTTACACTGTTTCGTCTAAGTATATTCTTTCGTCAAGCCTATATAACTTAAGTGTTTATTGAGCCTACATAGTCTAGTTAACAGACTAACTGTCACGATTGTTGTAATACGTGATTTTGTTAATAAGGACTTGTACATTTTCTAGGTTGTACGCAAATACTTGACTCACGATGGACGAGCAAAATTACATATTGGAGACCAAGAGCAGTGGACTTGATAAATAAAGGCTGGATGATGATGATGATGATGATGACGCAAATAGTATGGTGTCATCTGCATATGATATATCATAGAATGCCTTTTTCAATTTCATACAAAGTTTTGCTAAATAGTCTTTTACAGTAGAAACTGAAGATTACAGGAGATAAAATATAGCCTTGCAGTCTGATTTCACTAAAAGTTTCTACTTATTTTCAGATATTATTTATTAATCCTGCTTATCAACCGAAAAAGAACATATGTTGAAATAAAGTGAAAAGAGCAATACGATACCTTCAAGAACAAGGGAGAAAAGAAATAAGTAAAATCCGTAATATGTATTTAACTCTTTGTACCATAAAAGAATAATACGACGTTTTATTCCTATGTTTGTAAGCCTTACATCTAATATTGCTTTTATTTCCCCATTTAAAGGTCCCTACAGGGTCCATGCGAGTAAATTTCGCAAACTTACATAACGTAGGTAATAATAAGGAACTGTAATTATTATAGTGCAGAATGTCTGTTTGTACAACAGATCCGTTGCTCAACTTAATGACAGATATGTGGCCCTATAACAAGCATATTCTTAGTTAAATTGCACCTTGTTATTATTTAATTATAATTTTTTCACAAGGACCACAAGTGTTTCCACTTTAAGTATTAACGTCAGTTACTTCGAGTGCATTTAATACAATACATCACAGGAGCAAATTATCGTTCGAAAATGTTTTATCACTCAAAAACAAATTTAAAATTGTTAAAACAGTTAAAAATGATTATAGTAAATGATTTATATATATCAATGGGACTTCACATTTATTATTCATGACCTAGAGATAGTATATCTCTACACCTGCATTGATAATATCGATTTTTGATAATGGGGAATAAGTTTAAGATACAGTATCTCTATATCATTCTTCTTATTAGGCCACCTCCTTACCAAGTTTCGTAATTAGTACCAGATCTAGACTACGCCCAATTTGGTGACTCGTCGCTAGAGGATATGAGCCCCTCTTGTCCGTTTTTTGGGTTTTCTTAGTAATATTTGTCTTCTTTTGATAGAGCTACGACTATTTAGACTTCATTATATATTTGCCAATGTTTGCTCTTTGGGGCTTCTGTGCTTCCATCTATGATACACGTCATACCTTTAC